ATTTTAACAAAACGTGGTGCGATCATCCCCCTTGCGCGGAGTGAGGCTTCTCGACCCCGCACAACATGATCCACTCGACCACCATTATGGTTACCGCCAAAAAAAAAAACAGAGGTTGAAAAAAAAAACGGTAACCTGGTTGCCGAGCTCACGAAGTGAGTTGGCTTGTTTTACAACGTCGTTGCCAAGAGACGAAAACCCAGCCCCCATGGCAAACACCGGCGGGGGGGGGCGGCTTGTTTTACAACGTCGTTGCCAAGCGACTAAAACCTAACCGCGATGGTTAACACCGGGGGAGAGGCGGTTAGGGCGGTAGAGGGGTATATCGGGAAAGTATGCTAGCCTAGACGCACGTGTACGTCGACCACGAGCCTAAGCTAAACCCGTACTCAGCCGTGCCAGCATTCGTCTCACAGAAACTCCTGTAAGAAAGAGCGCGATGGCGATTCGCGCTACATTTGTAGCTGTCCCAGCCTCGTCGGCGTGAACCCGGAGCGCTCCGGCCCGAAAAAAGGGCAACACGAAGTATTTGGTCGAAGACACGCGCATGTTGTTGAGCTGGTGTGCCCCCACGCGGGGGGGGGGGGGTCCTATTCAGTGCTCTGGATTGAGATTACCACGAGAAAAGGCGCTGATGTTGTTACGTGTTCAACAGGATGAACGTCGACACATTCAGCGAAGATCTGGTGCGTGCGAGTATTTGAGGACCTCGAGAAGCCAACCCCCGGTCGTGTTTAAACCAACGCGTCAACTTCGAAGAGCAAAGCGCTTGCGACGACAGCAGTACCCACTGGCCAATCGTGCCAAGGCAGAGCCACACAATAAAACGAACGAGGCGTTTTGTTCCAGCAAGCACACACACTGACAGACAGACCCACAGCCTTCTTGCTGCAACTATAATACTTCTACACGCCAATCCGCACGTTCTCTTATGCCATGCAAAAAAAACACTCACACACAGGTTCCAGTGATACATTGCACACCTTTAGCCAAAGCAGTATGTGCCGTGTCAAAACACTGTGCGGAAAGAAGAATGAGCGTCCCATCATACAAAAAATAAACACAAGCACACTCACAAAAAACTAAACGGGAGGGAACACGGCGCAGCAAGCAAGTGTCGGTACGCACCTGATCGATCTTGTTCATCACGTACAACGCCGGCATATACTTTCGGTTCCCCTCTACGACGTCGATGAACTGGTCGATCGTCACGTCTTCCTTCACCACAACGTCGCAGCTGTGCAGCCGGTACTCTCGCAGGACCGACTGCACCACGTCGTGAGACAGCTCCGACTGGGTATAAGTGGGCAACAATAAACGCGTGGCATGGATGCGGGGGGGGAGGAGGGCAAGGTACAGCAACGGCTTATGCGCGGCTCGACGTTCACATTATTGACAAATGCCCCGGCCGGTACGTGGAACGTAAATGTACTATTGTAGGTTTCGAAGCTCAGAAAGCGAAAGCCGCGAAGCTTTGTTGTTCCGGCGGGCGGAACATTCGTGGAGCAGTCGGCCACAACTTTCCAACGGGCGTACCGGTAGTGTAGCCAACAACGCATTGCACAGGGTTTACATTGTGAATAGGCTCGTCGAACAGGCATTGCCGAGCATCGTTTGGACTTGTCCGTCAAGCGCCGTTTCGTGCAACGGGTCTCGAGGAAACCGCTTTCCAACTGCTGTCATCACCAAGGCAAGAACGAGCAACGCGCGGTCCGCTTTTCCCCCATCGATCCTGTCCCGGTCTAGAACAAGATACCCCCAAGACATAAAACCTCCCGAAAGTTGAGGCCGCCCTTTTTCCCTCCTTTTCGGGCGGAAAGTAACAACAGAAACACAACCATGAACAAGACCAACACCGCACACCATCACTTGAAAGTCGCCCCCCGAAAAACGGCGAAACATCCGTGAGCCTACAAGGAAAATCCGCAGCGCTCTTCGAGGGCTACCTGAGGCACGGGCCTCCTGATCCACATCCTACCCGTGTGGAACGCGGTGCAAAAACAAACGCATGACCGAAAGAGCAAACAATCACAGACTTCGCTGCCACGTGACGACGCCGCCGGCGTGGTGTGGAAGTCGGCACAAACAACATACGACCGAAAGACCAATCAATCACAGACTTCGTTGCCACCACTAAACGACGCTGCTCCCCACTTGGTGTTGGCATTTTTTTTCTTTTGTACTTCACCTGAGGCACGATTTCCTGGTAGTTAAGACCGCCCTTGTCCTTCTTGCGGAACACGATGTCCGGCGGCTTCTGGTTAAGACGGATCCCGAATCCGTCCAGCTCCTTCTCGATCACCTTCTTGTGCGTCATGCTCTTATTTTTTTACAGTTGTGCCGCATGAAACGGCACACGATGACCGGACAACATGCACATTAAAGTACCGCGCAAACGACGAGTAGGGGTGAGAAGGGGGGCGAACGCCAGAGTTCTCTCGTTTCTGCGAGGGTCATACTCCAAACTTTCAACCAGGGAACACGCACCGACGTTGTAGCTGATTTCGGCGAGGTCTTGCAGATGCTCGCATGATCCATGAGGACAATTTTGACGTTGCGGCTGCTAGAAACCCAGCCGCTGAGAGAAGTGGTCGCCAGCCGCTCCAAACAGCAACAACACAACAACTAGTAAAACACGTCGACGAATCCGACAACCGTTATACAAGGTCTGCCTCTGTTGACTTCACCGGCTGCGGTCGGTCATTGCGCTTGATTTGAGTCTGCCGGTCACCTTCATCACGTCCAAGCAAATTAGCAGCATGTTGCACGTTCGGGCTGTTGAGATGACCTATGACCCCCAAGAGAGGGCGGTGGAGGCACGGCGGCAAGGAGAGGCACGAAAAGTCACACGGGCGTCAAATCGAAGCACTCAATAGGAACATGGTGGGAAAAACGCCAATGTGCGCGGATGTGTACCAACATGATCACCTTACAACGAGACCAGCAAAGCCACCAACGCACCCGACGACTACAGCGGTGGCGGCGGCAACACCTCCAATACCTGTCGGCCTCGACCCTTGCCGTCCTTCGCGCCCTCAATAATCCCAGGCAAATCCAACATCTGTATCTTCGCTCCTCTGTAGTTGAGCGTGCCGGGTACTGCAGTAAGCGTTGTGAACTGTTTCGTTCGGGAGTGCAAAGAAACGACGAGCACGAGCGAGGATATATGGTTGAAGGGATACAACATTACACAGGGACAAGACAGGAGATCAAAGAAAACGCCACGAGCCTAAACGCGGACTTTGTGCTCCCAACACACAACACGTCGAGAGCACTGTGCAGTATTTGTTGGTGGACAGATGCTGAAGAGGAGGGTCCTCGCAAAAAAAAAAAATGATTTGAAAATAGGTACAGGGGTAGGGTTAGCACAGGCACAACTTGGTGGTCGAAAGACGCCTCCTTCTTGTCTCGCGTGGGGGGTTGGCGTGCAAGAAGGTAAACAGGCGCCGCGTGCAGGCGGTGTTCCGCACAAAGGTCTCAACGGTCGAGACACAGCGGTCTGCAAAAATACAAGTGAAGTAGCAAGAAACATGAACACAGATGTGCACATCGCGCGGATGCACTCAGGACATGTAGACACGCGAGACTGCTGTAGATAGGCGCAAAGAACGGACGCACAGCAACGGAGGGAGAAAACAGATAAAAGATTGGCGTTGGTTCTCCCACCTCATAAGCGGCGGCTTCGCTGTGCGTCCCTGTGAGCTTGGTGAGCAGGGTAGACTTCCCGACGGACGGGAAGCCGACGAAGCCCACTCTGGTGTCGCCGGCTTTGCTCACGTCGAAACCTCTTCCCCCTCCTCCGCCGCCTCCCCTGCCCCCGGAGTCCGCTTCGAGGAGCTCCCTGCGATCAGTTGCGAAAACAAAGATGACACATGAGAGGACATCCTGTGGATGCGAAACATCATGTATCTGATGAATTTGTGGTTGAGTTAACATTGCTTGGCGCCACGTTCACCAACAGTCTAAATCGCGTGTTCAAACTATCTTGTAGCAAGGCAAGGGGCACAGTCATCATCACGCACACACCAGTATTTCGCAAAGAGGTGGTTTGACTTCTGCATAGCCCTCGAGCAGCTGGAATTTGTGGTTGACTTATCTATTGCTAGGCACCATGTTCGCCAATTTATATCACGTCCGTACGGGCAGACCTATAGGAAGTCTTGGCAATGTCTGTCATCGACGGAATATCTCAATCGGTGAATGACTCGCACATCAAGCGGGCTTCGCGGGAGGCGCTGTGTAGACGAGCTTGCGCTTCTGGCCGCTCCAGCTACTCAGCCGACTCAACCTCTTGTTTACGCTTCTGATGATGTACTCTAGAGGATAAATAGGGCACACCGTGGGCACGAAATGCTGGCTGGCTGCATCGAGGAAATGCAGGGAGGGCGGCATACATGAAAGGCCCCGAAAAAAGGGAATACCCAAGACACGCATTAGGTGTAGATTAGACAGCAGCACGCACAAAAAATGAAGGAAGATATGGCCACCGGGGGAAAAGAAGAAGCACCGCAAGGTTTGTGTGTAAGACTTGGAAGCATCTTGGGTGGAAGGACACATCGGAGGACATGCACTGGGACACCGAGTGTGCCGTGGACATGACGCAGCAAATGGTTCAGGAGGCAAACACACCGTACATGTCAAGGGATTGGCATACGATGCACCCCACGTTTCGACTCGACAAAGCATTTTTCCCGCCCTGGGTGGGCAACGCATGCCATCTTGATGCCAACCCTATCTGAAGCAGACTGGGCGCGGCCTACCCCAGAAGCTTCCCCACGTCTCAATTTACCCCGCTCTCCTTTGGCCAGCACCAAAAAACATGCCGCAAAGCAGCACAAATAATCAAATAATGAAGCGTTAAACATGAACCATGTAACGAACGATGCAACCGACCACATCCGTCACAGTCTCGAAAGTTTTTTTATTGATATGCTTGTAGCAACGCCAAGTAGGTGGTACGGAATGTTCCCATGGGGTGAGGTGGACCGGAATACCAGGTACCTTGTGTGGTACGTGGAGTGGATTTCCAGGGATATGCTACAACAGTACCCCTGTTGTAACGGCGTCGCCCCCTCAAGGGGGCATGTGTGTGTGTTTGTACTACTAGCATCGACCGCGCTAACCGGCTGATCAATGAAAAGACGTGTGTGTGAGAGTGGAGAAGATCGATCACAACAATTTTCCTCCTCGGCGCGGGCCCGCCTAGTTGTCGACACCATACTAAACACACGTCTTGCGACAAGCTACCCCCGGTGCCGATCATCCCACAAATAACAGTCTCGGGGTCACAAAAACAAACTGCCTATCATCAGTTCAACGCCTGCTTTAAGGATTTGCCAGCTGCATGAAACCAACCTTTTCAGCTTGGCGACCTTAGCCTTGATGAGACCGAGGTGCTGGCTTGTCGCCTTGTTCTTCTGTGTCCTGGCATACTGAGAACAACCAGGACAGGCGTGGACGGACGGAGGTACCAGGAGGTACAAGGTGGGGGGGGCGAGGTTGCGCAAATAGGTGCAAGTAGACGAGAGATCAATAGGAGGTACGTGGGTCCGAAGCTCTGGTTAAAAGTTGGTGGGTGTCCTCGAGTCCAACAAGGCTGAATGACCACCATCCAAGGGTTTCGATAAAAGTCAACAAACTTTCCGTGGTCTGTAATCTTCTACTTTATCTAGCAAGGACACGCCATCGTCGTGGACGTGTGGCAGACGGGGAACGTACCGCAGCAGTGGAAGGACGCCAACATCAAGGTTCTGTTCAAGAAGGGGGACACGATGGAGTGCGGCAACTACCGGGGCATCTCTCTCGTTGCACACGCCGGCAAGGTGCTGCTTAAGGTCGTTGCAACACGCCTAAGCCACTACTGCGAGCGAGAGGGCATCCTCCCGGAGGAGCAGAGCGGTTTCCGCCCACACCGGTCGACGCTCGACATGCTGTTCGCGATCCAGCGGCTCCATGAGCTCGCGAGGAAGAAGAGTACTGCGGTCTTCGCGTGCTTCGTCGATCTCACCAAGGCGTACGATTCGGTGGACCGAGATCTGCTGTGGGACGTGCTCGGACGCTTTGGCGTGCCCCC